TTCACTAGAACTCACATAATAAAAGTGTAGATCTCTAGATCTGGCCAGGTCCGGAACATTTTCAAAATTGCAAAAAAGGCAAAATAATCAAGTTTTTGGGATAATTTTTTTAAAATATTTTAATTGCTCCGGGGGTATTCTAATTTTGGTAAAAAAACTTTAGAGTATAATAAAACAATACATCAAATTTCATTAAAAATCGGTTCTATAGTTTTCGCAAAATAATTTTTTGAAAAAAAAAAAATTTCGAATTTTCAAAATGTTGCACAGCCTCAAATAAAGCGTCTAGATACTTGAAAATTTTTTCACATAGAAAAGACCGCTCAACCTTTCAAATAGTTTTTGAAAAATTGAAATCGGTTGATTTTTTGAATTTTTTAAAGTTAACATCCTTTTTTTATTTTTAAACAATTAGATTACATTTATCAATTTTTTTCGTATGTTCGCATTTTGAACCTTCAATTTCAGTCTCGGAGCGAAAGGCCCCTCCCCCACTTTTCGCGTGTGCGAGCGACAGCTTTTCCGCTGATTTATCTATGTTGCCAATAGTTTATGGATATGAAATTTTTTTCCAGCTTAGAACTCGGAAAAACTAAGCCACTGGATCAAAAATTATTGCTAAATTGTTTATAAATTAACGGCAAATGCCGATAAACTTTGACCGCTATATCTCGAGAACCAATTAGCGGAATTTAACTTTTTTTCTTTAAAAGAAGCGTCTTTCCGAGTACTTTAAAATTATAATTTTTGAAAAAACTAAATTGCAAATTAATAAATGTAATCTAATTGTTTAAATATAAAAAAAGGATGTTAACTTTAAAAAATTCAAAAAATCAACCGATTTCAATTTTTCAAAAACCATTTGAAAGGTTGAGCGGTCTTTTCTATGTGAAAAATTTTTCAAGTATCTAGATGCTTTATTTGAGGCTGTGCAACATTTAGAAAATTCGAAAATTTTTTTCAAAAATAATTTTGCAGAAACTAGAACCAATTTTAATGAAATTTGGTGTGTTGTTTTATTATACTCTAAAAGTTTTTTTATCAAAATTAGAATGCCCTCGAAGCAATTAAAATATTAAAAAAATTATCCAAAAAACTTGATTATTTTGCCTTTTTTTCATCAATTATTGCTATTTTGCAGCATAGGTAATAAATTTAAACATTTTTAACTTACAGTATTTTGTGCAAAATTCAATTCTAAAACTTTTTTCCTCTTCAATATTCTTCCAAAATGCATTGGTTTCAAGATAGAAAGAAGTAAAAACTCAGACAAAATAGGTATATATTTAAATTTTTTAAACATTTTTGCAATTTTTTGAGTTGTACTGAAGGTATTTCAGCAAAAATTAGCTTGCCCCCTCTTACATCCAAGAAGTGGGATATTTCGACAGATCCGCCCTGGTCTATAAGGATATTTTTGGTTTTTCAACCTCAAAGCATCCAAAATAAACTCTCAAGAGTTCAAACCGCTGCGATTTTTCTTGCACTGTGATCCGAATGTCTAAATTGAAATTGTCACTTGCTAAAAATCAATTAAATGATAAATTTTACGTCTCTTATTAATATTGTTTAAATTGAAAATATTTTCTTCGCAAAAATCCATTTTTTTTTCATCAAAACATGTTAAATGTCGAAAAAAATATATATATTTTTCGAATTTTTTTTTACAATATTCACAGTCGTTCCGGCTGAGACTTCTGAACAGCTTAATGATTTTCACTAAACTCCAAAGGTAACTCTATAAGAAGATAAATATGGATAATATGAAGGCTCACGTCCAAAAAAACAAACAGCCAGAGTTACAAGGCACTATACAACCATTCGAGACATCAAAATCGCCTCTACGTTGTAGAGCAACAAGAGCTGAAATCTGAGTTACTATAAAGCATATTTTAGCTTCTAACCGCGTCGTTTTAAGCCTTGAATAGCCGACACTACCGGTCTTAACGTTTTGTCATGTAAATAATTAATGTCTTATACATTTATATGTTATTATAACACTCTCGGTGATATTTCTCTTCCAAACTTACCACATAACCAGCGTCTGATACTGGCCTACAGGGCGGCGTCTAAAATCTTGATTCATATACGCTTCTATCGATTAATTAAATGTAAATAAACGTAGCCCTTTTTAGCGGTGAGGTTATGTTACCTTTAAGGAAGTGAGTGAACTAAGCCCTTAATGAATGTAATTCCATTCATCGTAAAAATTATTAGCAATTCCTCCGTTTAACATTGTTCACTAAATGTAGCTAATATATTTAATGGCTTAATAAAATCTGCGCCCCTGGAATTCTCTTGCAGAGGTATAAAGAGCAATTTCCACCCCTCGTTGGCTGCCGTCGTTACGCGAATATTTTGAGGCTAGGGCCATGAAAGAGATCATTTTTATGTTGTAAACTGAAATTTATTCAACGGAAACATCAACGCGGAATTTTTGTAAATTCGGTTGGATCAATTTTTGCGCCGGAATATCGGCTACACCGAGAAAACTGAATCATTTTGTTTAACAAAAAAAAGCGTCAATTGAATCGGGCGTTTGTCCCTGGGATTTCACGGGCGAATAACAATAATCGGTGCTCCGAGCAAGATACGAATAGTATGCAAAATTCGTCTACTTGTAAATCGCAAGCCGCGCAACGAGCGGAAAAAGTGAATAGAAGCAAACAGATAAAAACAATTCAAATACACAAAAATGTAAACGTTTTATAGTTACAATCTCATTTGAAGATAAAAATGCGGAAAGCCATCTCTGTCATGTTGTGTACATATGTAAATCCCAAGTTTTTCGTGTAAGATATGCCGCTTGATTTATCTGGAATGCTAAGAGGGGTGGAGAATAGGTGGTGAGGCGCCGGAACGTTGCCTTGGCGACGTCGCCATCTCCTGGCTATGATTCCGACGCCGACGCTATCCCATCCCTACTACTTCAGACTCAACATACCACATCATTCGACTACTACATTTTTTTCCTTCCCGTTCACCCGTTCACGCTCAATTTCTTTCAGATAAATGAAAAAATGAATCCACCATGATAACTCGCCTCCGCCATTCATCTAGATTCTGTTAAAATTGCCCTTCATCAAACAAACACTTAAAAAAATAAACCGTAACCTTGGACTAATTAATTAGCATTAAATTTCTCATATCAACAGTAGATATTAATTTATTTAGATTCTTACATATAAACGTTATATAACGTATAAAATATTGCATTCATTTAGAAATATTTACATAAACACATAAAATATTGATTGCTATGACTTCACTAAATTTCCATTTCATAACGTTTGTCAAACGTTTATACCCACTTCGATAAACGTTTAATACTGCTCTGATAAACGTCTCTCACGTTCCTAACCGTATTCGAAATTATTTGGACGTTTAAATAATAATTCTCAAACCATTCGTTTTTTCAATTTTTAAAATATCTAATGTTATACCTATAATTTGATATAAATCTTCAAACGTTTAAATGTAAGATATAACGCATATAACACATAAAATATAACGCATAAAATTTTGCACAATTTTATAGAAACGTTTATATAAACTCTTGTTAATAATTAGTGCAGAAATATTTAATCATATCATTTAACTTGCAAGTCTTAATGTCAGAACGTTTGCCAAACGTTTATATCTACTTCTATAAACGTTTAATACTGCTGTGAAAAACGTTAAAACGTTTATTTTGAGAAACGTGTATGTACTCGAATTTTTTGCGATTTTTAAATTATCATTTTCAAAACTTATTTTTCTCTTTTGTCAAACGTTTATACCTACGCGGATAAACGTTTAATATTGCTCTAAATAAACGTTTATAAATGTTTATAAAATGTAAAGACATATTTAATATGAGAACCGGAAGTTCTCAGTTCAAAACGTTTGTCAAACGTTTATAACCACTTCGAGAACGTTTAATTCTTTAACATCTTTATAATGTTGACTTTTAAACAATGATTTTTAACACATTTTTTTCCTCGATATTTGAAATAATATAAATAAATTCTTACCGACAACTTGTTATAAATCTTGAAACGTTCAAATATAAATTACATGTAAACGTTGTATAACATAAAATTTTGCAGAGTTAAAAAAAAACACTTGCTAATAAACGATAAATAAATTTACAATTTAGTTAATGACAAACGTTTAATCTTACTATGAAAAATGTGCCAAAGTGTATTGAAATTTGAGATTTTTAAATAAAATTTAAATGTATGCAGATTTGTCGCAACTATTGCTTTATACCATTTCTTTTTGTACTGATCTTTCAAATATTGAAGTTATGGTGAACAATATTTTTGTATTTAAGTGAGTACTTACCTTTTTTTCACAAACAAGTCAGTGGCGTACAAACTCTTTCTAACTATTGGTCTTCAAGGCACTTTTTCGTATTTTTGTGGTGAATTCGAGAAATAAAAGAGATGCTGAGGAAATCACTGAACATATTTATTTAAATATTACAAATACAGTTTTCAATATACATAATATTAGCTGCAAAACTGCAGCGGACTATATTATAAAGATTGCACGTTCTTTTTACACAAATCTAAAACCGTCGCCCACTTAGAGCTGCCATTTTGTCCAGAAACAAATCTCAATAGGAACGTCGGGATGGTATTTTTTATCACTGTACAATAAATAATATTTTTTTAAAACTTTTCATATCATTAACGTGTTGAAAAAATACCACCCGGTTCATTGAAAGAAAATAAGCCAAGTACTATGCATACGGCAACGTGTACAATTTTTTTAAAGTACTTAGATCTCTTAAATCAAAGCTGAAATTATACACAGTTTGACTTCTTTCGAAAATAGTATTAAATAGCACGTATACATATATATATACTTTTAGATATATAACATTTTTACAAGGTGCGCGTGCGCGTTGGGGACGTCTTTTGTAAACGCACGTTTCACAAAACACTGAGATCACTAATTTAATATTTACAACAAGAGTCTTCTCTCCACGTTTTGTTAAACTGTCCGGTACGGCCTCATTGGAGGTTTTGTCGCTTCGCTACGTGCTCCTCCTCAGTATCCGATATTATGTCGCTGTTTTCGTCCGTCTGGTTGTCCAGCACCTCCTGTTTTCGCTTTGCCGTGGCCATTTCGGCCGCGTGCTTTTTCCTCCATTTTGTGCGCCTGTTCTGGAACCATACCTGCAACAACAGAGACACCCTTAAAGACATTCGCATCAAGATTGTTGTTTTAAAATGGTCAAGGCCACAAACAGCGAGTTCGATACCCCAATGATGTCCTCATCACGGTTTAAATAACGTTAATTTTGGTTGGTATAACGTCGACGGTTGATTATATAACGTTTTTAATTAAAAGGAAACGTTGAAATTAAACGTTATACAAACAGGGAAAATTAAACGTCATAAAAATTACATAAAAATTACAATTTTAATTAACTCTGTGTGATCATTATTTATAGCAGGGTAGATTGCGCAAACGTTGCAATTAAACGTTATAAAACGTGGTAAAATTGAACAAATTAAAGTCAAGTGCAAGACGTTAAGTTTTAGGTTAAATGAATTGAATTATTTAAATAATTCAACGTTTAAATGTGGCTTAAGAACAACGTTGTTGGATAGGTAGCGTAAACGTTAAAAATAAACGTTATAAAAGCACAAAAAAATACACAAAATATAATTTTAATTAACTCCTATGAGTGCCTAAATATTACATTTAAACGTTATAAAACGTGAAGGTATTAATAAAAGTAATTTTGAAACGTTTTTGTTCTCACTGGCGGTGATGGACGATTATCGGCGATGTTTTTAAAACGTCGTGGTCACTGATGACGAGCATTGTCTTTATACAGCAAATACACTGTTTAGTAATGTGCAGAAGAATAATTGATAATTGAATTTAAACTGAAAAGCGAACAATATAAGATAAAACAGGAACATAAAGATGTTTTCAATCAGACTGATTGTGAGATAAGTGAAATATTTTATAGGTGTTTCAGTTGCGCGGATTATTGAAAAAACGTGTACTTTATTCAGATGGGATGAGAATATTGATTAAACTCATAGGGGAAACGATTGTTTGTAGGAAGATAACATCACTGCAGCATCTTTGGTTTAATTGATGGCATCCTCTCTCGACGGTATTCGGTAAACATCGCGCGCCGGGTTGGTTCTGCGTTGCTTATGGCAGTATTAACTCCCAGACCCTATTTAGATGATTTATCGTTCTACTATGGCTCTAAAATACCGTGTAATTCGCAAATTTAATATATAATGGGCCTGTTGTACAGAAATCGCTGAAAACATATAGCCCGTGTTTAGATGTTTAGCAGTTTTGCGGAAGGTTGATATATTTGCACCCCTTCATTTCTATCAAAGAATGGCTCCGCCCCATTTTCCACCCTTGGAGGCCCGAGTCTCGTCCGTGACGCCACTGTGCCGTCAGCTCAATCCGATAAAACTTTTATTAATTGCGTCTCACTCTGAAACATGGCTGCCTCGCCAAAACCGCTGTACCTCTGTTTCGTTGCACCATCGAACACGAGTCTAACGAACGTTTGCCGATTAATAGAAAATAATTTAATTAATTAGTTAACGTAATATTGTATTCGGCGCAAGAGCTGTATTTCAGCGTTTAATTTACGATTTAACACATGTTTTCAAGGCGGCGATAAATAAATCTTTCTGTGATAATTTCGGGGTCTTAAGTTTAAAATATGAATTAGATATCTCGAAGGGCTTTTAAGATATCGTAAAAATGTGGCACCTACCGTCCATTTTTATCCACTTCTGAAAGATAGGCTACATAAAAAGCTAAAAAATTTCCGCTCTGGTTATTATTATTGTAGTTACAAGATCCCAGAGTCGACGTTCGATCACACTTCGGGGTGGCTCCGCGAATTTTCGGGTATTGCTATTCCGTTGAGATCTTGATGTCCAGCCTCTTCGGATTCGAATCTGGCTGTTATTTTGGCTTTCTCGTAACATTCCTGGCCGTTTCACGGATAAATTCTGGGGTAAAATCAACAACAACAAATTCGAATACTGTCTTTTAGTCACTGATTTCGAGGTCTCCTATGATTACTTGAAATTTTGAAAGCTTTTGGAGCTTTCTGAGTACCTAAGAATTTTAGTCAGCTTCTATTTTATCCCTTGCGCTGGATTGCGCAATGTTTGGACAAGAGCGATTGAACAAGGCCGGGAGCAGTGTGCTCGCAAAAATTTTTTTAACAAGGTTTTAAATTATTAAAATTGATTTGCAAAGGCTTTATACAACGCAAAATGTCAATAATTTAAAACGTACTAAGTGTACTGGTCAGGTTCCGTCCCTGGTTAATAAACGGTGAGGAGTCAGGGTCGACGTTCCATCACAGTCCTTGATGGATCCGCAGAGGTCCTATAACGAAATCCGTTTTAATTGGACTTGCTTGATTTTACCCATCTTCTGATTCTCGCCGATTGGATGATCGACTTGTAGTCTAGCACTTTGGTTTTTCTTACAGTTTCCTGGTTCGAATTCCTTAATATTCGGAAAATTTTTCAATTTTCAACATTCGAAACTGGGGTGAATTTTCTGTTCAGCAGCGGCGTTGTTGCAATTAGCATTCAAAATTTTTGTATAGCTTGCAAATATTTATTGATTAACTCGAAATTCGTGGGTACTGCATCATTATCCGGAAACGTATTATTGTTATTAAATTTCGGTGGCGCCCTCGTACAAGCGTTAAAAAAAGGAGGAGAAAGAGACACCGCAATTTTGAGCGGCGGAATCCAGCCCACGGTTTTCATCGCGTTCGGAAGTAATTTAAAAAGCCCGAGCCGTAGGAGAGAGAGGCCGGCGTGCCGGGGGCGTCGGAACAAATTGGAAGTGAGTGGCCCTTAATTTGGCCAGTTAGGGGTTGAGATTGAGGCCCAGGGGTCGCGGGCAGCGCATTCCGCAGCAGAGCGCCAGCATGTACAGCTAATTACGCAGTCACTTAGCGTTAATCGATTCGGTCGCCTTACGTTAACGGTTAACGACACACTAATGACCCTGCATTTACATAGAGACCGGGGATTAGGGTGGGACCGGAGTCCGGGCGGCCCCTGCCGGCTCGTGTAATTCATACAGATTTTATCTGAAATTATAAAACCGGACGCTCGCAAACAATAAAAACATATATATGTCACGTAGATTAGCGACGTCAACAATAAATCAAACCGTCATTCCGCGAAGAGCCGGACTACGTTCCCGGGCGCGTAAGCTCGGTCGCCTCCGAAAATATTTTCCCGTACTGGGAGGCGACTAATCTTACTTGGTATATTTTTTTAAATTCATATTCAGAAACATGGGCGTAGCTAGCATTTTTGCTTGGGGGGTGTCAAAACCTAAACACTTTCTTCTAATTCTAAAAAAAATCTCGCAGTCAGCGACTTACCGAAATGAGAAATACATTTTTGTATCTTTTTTTTCTGGAGTGGGCCGTGCTCCCCTCAAGTTACCTACGCCCATGTTGAAAAAGCACACTTCGTAGTTGGTTGACGTGCAAAAAATCAAGATTTTTTTTCAACGAAGTAATTAATGAAAACGGAGCTCTGGAAAACGCGCGGAAGCCACGTTGTGACGTCACACCACGTTAGCGGTGCGTGGTAATTTATTTATTAGTTCTCGGAACGGATGGGTCAAAAAGTAAAATATTTCTATCAACACTAATTTATCGAAAAGTTAAGGGCTCTCAAGTAGGGTTAGCGTCGCCACAAGACCGTCTTTCGGATAAGACTTCATGATATTTAGCAGTATTTTTTTTTAACAAGTTCACTTAGATCGTCGGGACCATGTGTTGAACATCTGGTATAAAGAAAAAAATCGATATTTCTAATAACGCGCGAAATGCATTCAAAAGAACACGTAGGAATTCCAAGAAATTTAAATAAGTTGTTAAATTGATAATAATTGGAAAAGAATAATAGATCAAATAGCTGGTTTTTAGGCGGATTTTCCAAGCTATAAGAACAGATTAAATAAGATTGACTAATCCGTCCCGTATTGCTACACGCAGTCAGTAGAGGAAGGCTAGGGTTACTTCTAAGTCCAGTTAGTCACAGAATTATTTATATAAATGTAAATTCAGTCCATTAGATAGCTATTAACATGGCATAGATATGCCAAAGCGTTCCGATATTCAGGGTTCCCGCCAGTAAGATAAGAACAGAAGCGTCTGGACTCAAGAAATGGGCGTGTCGAAGCGAGGTGTCGAATTCAGGAGAGATCTCCGAAAAAACAGACAGTTTTTTCTTGGGTTCTACATTGAGTAGTCTACTTAGATTTAGAGTCTCGGGTTAATTTAATAATGGATAAAGTCATTTCAAATTTTGCTATGGATCGCGCATTCCCTGAATCTCGGTACGCTGTCGCGTGTCAATAAATTAATTAATAATGTGGTTCGAGCTCGTTGTGTCGTTATTTTGTTTATTTTGTTTTTATTGTTATTGAAACCGTTCCTGGAAGTGTTGGTGTTTCTTTCTTTTAAGTAAGAATTCTTGTTTTTTTTTGGGACGCGTTTGGAAAAAAATAATTTATTTTCGGAGGCTTGGCTGTGGGCAACGAAGGACGGCGTCGGCGTCACGCTTCCGGGATTCTCACACCGATGCATCGATACCGCAAAATAAAATTCCATATATGTGTCAGGGGATGATGGATCGAGAGCCCGACAGACAGCAATGGCGAATGGCGGCCCAAACCGGTCCCCAACCGGGCGCTAACCAACTCAACCCACCGAAACACCGAATGTCATTGCCGTAAGGGGAAATTTATATACGATATATCAGTTAATTGAATTCGGTAAATATTACGGTTTGATGGCTGCACTGCAATTTCGTTTCAGTTTTAATATTTATCGCGCTTTCTGCGTTCGCTTCTACACGAGGCCGGTCGGGGGGGTAGTTATAATCCCACACTGCGAATAAAAAAACAATTGATAGTATCGACGCGCTGTACCAAGGCCTCCTACGCTTCATTATGAATATTAGAGGCTTGTATTGAAGATACGCACCCTGGAACTATTTAAAGTACAGAAATATTTTCGTTCATAAAAATAAACTATTGTAAAGTCATAAAAGAAACAAATAAGACATTCCACGAGGTGATTTATGTCTTTTTAAACGCCCCTTCAGGTGCAAGTTCAAACGTACTAAAAATTCCAGTA